ATAATAAATTATATTAATGTAAAATCAGAGTTATTATGGCTTTACTTAATAAAATAAAAAAGAAACAAAGAAAGCGTTAAATAAGAATATAACTAAAAATAATGATAGAAAATTAGTTCTATCTGTCTACTCTGTAATTTGTAATATTGTGATTCCCAGCATTTTCCTTAATTTTTCTTTGGAATAGACTTAAACAAAAAAAGCTATTTTATAACATGACTTTTTTCTATCTTGATATTTTGAAGATATTAAATTAACCATAAAATTTGTCTAAGTCTATTCCAAGAGTTTCTCTTTCCCACTTTATTTCTAACTTTATCCTAAATTGTATAATAAAAGGGAGCATATCAGCAGCAAGGCACGACATTTTAGCATCAAAACGACTTCAAACGTCGCGAAGCTTCTAACGTAATAACATGATGAATAATAAGTTTTTTACAATAACGTAGATCCAGATACGATGAACGCTAAAATCACGTTATCTTTTTCTTAATTAATTGTTAAAAAGAAGAAGATAACCTGACCTTAACGTTTACCGTATCATAGATAAGCGATATTGCAAAGACTTTCTAATATTCCATAGACAATTTCGATAAGGAAAACTTCCTTCCAGAAAAGTTCCTTTTGCTGCAAAATTATCTCTGCTCGATCCGTCGGATATTATCTAATTATCTGCACGGCGTATCGATCATCGAGTCGTCAATCATTAATTATCGTGATTTCGTGCTCGATCCTGACAGCCGGAAGGACATGGAAACGATGACGGATTACCTCACGAATATACATATGCACGTGTGTCTCATTGCTGCTGATCTCTCTCTCTCTCTCTCTCTCTCTCTCTCTCTCTCTTTCTGTCTCCACTTTTACGACAATACCCTCGAGCACGGTAACGCTGTTATTAACAATATAACGCTTTTAACCAAGAAAAACCAGGCGAGATTGTCGTGTAATTATACGTCGACGTGCAAACTATATCTATATATATATATATCTATATTTTTGTATATATATTTATTCGTCACACAACCAACGATACGCATATCATATATCGCCATTGTATCCCCTTTCCCCCGTTTAAAGATAGACACCCCCTTAACCAAGCATGTCAGTTTTGCTGTATGTGAGAATGAAGCTTTAGTCGTAGTGCATGCTGGCCATCCACGTGCACCGAAACCACGAGTTACACGTGATGATGTGACAGAACGAGGCGAACTTTGGTGTAGCGGCATCCGATAAAATAACATTTAATTAAATTATGGCAAATGCTATTAATAATAAAATGAAAATGGAGTCATTAATGAAGACTCTTCATTATTCAACAAATTATTTGATTATTGAGTTATTTGAATATTGGTTTATGTCGAATTTATGATTAATAAAAACATATTGAATTAACATTTATAACGCATCTTTATAAAAATTATCAAAAATAATTCCACAACAATTCCGATCTGCCTCACTTGAAATTTGATTTATAAATGGTATTTTTATTGTGAAAGTAGTGATGTATGGATAATCGTTCGTCTCGCTTTGTCACGACTAGACACCAGTTTTCTCCACGACTTACACGATTTCACGAGGAAGAATAGACATTGTAAAGCTGAACTTAGGAACTTAGACGAAAGATAGATTGTACGAGCAGCTGTAGAGAGATCCACACAGATGTTCGCAAGACAGCGTTGTGTTTCATAGTCGTAAAGTATGAAATAGCGTTAAAGTTACTCACATGCGACTCGATCAGGACTCGAGACGCATTAGCGGGTAACTCCCCTTAGATGTATATACAGAAGTTCTGCCGTACTTCTACATATTTTGCGCGAAATTCTGCCGACTTTGTTACATACATTCATATTCACACAACGGAAGCGGAATGAAACTCGCGACGGCACAGACGCTTGTACGGATCTTCGTGAATGTTATTTTAAAATCGATGTCGCTTTTTGTGGAATTGCAGACTCTATTGAAATTCTAAGTCTCGATTAAACGCAACGTACGACGAATTACTGTCATTCTGCTTCCCTGAATAGGATGCTTGGTGAATTTATACTGCACACGATATTCGACGTACGATGATGTGATATCCAATAAGAGAATTCGGTTCTAGTTAGCAACATTTTTGTCTCCGGAAGACAAATTCTTTTATTGGATATCGGACATCGAATATCGCAGTGTGAATCCAGGATTATTAATGTGACAAATAACTCTGCTTCATGATGATGTAAATCGCTAACACGAGGATATTCAACAGGGATTAAAGTCAGCGCTCGTGGTTACGGTTCGTCCAACGTGTTGCATGAGACTTCGAATAATTTTTATTTTTTCATTTCGGATGCCAAAATGGAGTGTGCAAACGGTCGTTTTAAAACACAAAATGAGAAAAGTGATAACCGGATTTACAAGCCGCGGAATTTTCACATTCCTGTCTATCTTGATCGCGAGTATATGCGTAGCTATACTCAAACTGACATCCTCGCGGATGATTCCACGAGGATATTATATTGCTAGAAAATATGAATTTTATAGAAATTATATTATGTATATTGAAACTCTTTTTATATTTAGGAGAAATATTAAATTTGATAAAGAGCCATTTGATAAATAATATGTACAAAGTATACGACAAAAAAATAATATTATTGCAGTTGGATGGAACAGTTAATTAAATATGATTTCTTAGCAAGGTGATAAAAGTAGAGATGGAGTAGAGAGAACTGGGTCGTTGATGTTGAACAGAACATATAACGCGTCACATGTCGAAATTAATTAGTATATACATTCGTAATAATTATTCGCGAAAATTTCAAGCTCACAGATTTGTTTTAATTTCATCGTTTTTTTAAATTTAAATTATGCACATGTCGAAACATTCTTACTGTGAAGACGAAAACTAATTAAGAAAACTAGTAAATTATCAAAACATGAAAAAATATTCGACAAAAAACAAAAATTGCGAGAGATAATATATCTCCTAATAATAAATTAATATTGGAGCAGATAGTTACAAAAAATGTTAAAATTAATAATTTATTAGGATTTTTCTAGTAGTATTATTAAAGAGAGAGAGGAGTAACATTGCGGGAAAGTGAATTAAATTTGTCGGTATTTTTCTCAAACAACGTAAGCGTCGCTTGATAATGTTCGATGAATATTTTAATGTTGCTTATAATGATCGTCTATTCTACAAGCCATAGGAACGTTTTATTTTTATATAAATATTCCCACGTACACAAGTCGCTTTTTCATCAATGTATGCAAAGAGGTACGTGACGCACGATATCTGAGTCAGAAGATACGACGTATACAGAAGAAGAGAAATTAATGTTAAAATAACGAGATAGGAGAACAAAAAAAGATATTTATATATATGTCGCGAATACGGCAATAGTGCTGCTTCTGCACGAGCCGCGACACGTACGACGCCTGTGCTTTTTTACTTGCAAGCAATTATGGATTATAAAAAAAAAAGAGGGAGGCAAGAAAAAAGGGCGGTAGGGAGGCCAATCGCAAAATCATCAGCTACATCCTGTTGTTAGTAGGGATGGGTGGGTTGTGTTGTTGTTTCAATATGTTTCATTATTTTGGCCCGCACCAGCTCGTGTTACGTAGGCAATTAGTACAATTTGGCGCGTCACGGTGGCCCATTGTTCGTGCTTTTTTCCCATACCGTGTCCGAGCCCACGCGAGCGCGCCATGTCGACGGATAATGGAGCGGTCACGAAGACATGACGATTACATTGCAGGGCGCGCATTACGCGTGTATTGCAGCCTTTTAAACCGTTGAGGTGTATAATAGCGCCCACTGAAAATACCGTCATATTTCCGCACATCTTTTTCGGAAAATGACATATTATCTTCTCTAATGAATAAATGTTGTAATTATTACTGCGCGAATTCATCCAAAATTTGACGATAAAGCTATTTAGAATTAATATATTATTATTTATGAGTCTACAATATAATTTTAATATATTTCATTTTAAATTTTATCATATTTCATTTTAAATCTTAAATGAGAAATCTAAATTCTAAAAAGCTTGATATTTCTAGCTTTACAATCTTCGTACCGTCAGTTCAAAACTACATGCGAGACTTTGTATTCTCCATTATTTTTATAGAATTTTGATATCAAGCGAAATACGTATATACGTTTCGATATCAAAATTTTATAGTCGAGCGACAAGGACGGAGATTATACATTAATTTGCAGAAATATAGAGATTCGGAAGATTGAAAAGAGTGTTCCTCGTAATTATTGCACCGTCCCGCTCTGTCCACATGGTCGCAACGCAGGTTTCAAGGCGAGAGGGGCGAAGGACCCATTTTCACCGACACCTCTCCCTCAGCGTGCTTATTATGCACTCAATGTCCGTGTACCACCAAGTGTGGCGAAAACGCTTATTTATAACATGAACGTAGTCGCGGAAACGTCGAGGAATCCCACGCATCGCTCCGTACCTTGTTGTACATATGTATGCACGTGCCGACGAGGAATGTTCCTTTTTTTCCATACCACGTTTTTACCTCACGTTAACACCCTCTTATTTTGCTCGATCACATCTCATTGTTGCTGGTGCTGACAATGCTACTGCAAGAATGGCCGATTCACAGCTGATGTGTAACCCGTCATGCTGGCGATCTTTGAGATTTTAATTCTACATGGAAGAATCAATCACGTCGAGTCAAAAGATATCGAGCAAAACTCTCTTGTAACAAAACCGATCTTATCATTACGTAACAGCAACGAAACGAATTTTGTTATTATTGAGTTTCTAATTATGTATGTTTCGTATTTGATCGATTATTGAACATTAATTACTCGTACGTACGTAAACTATTCGAGTAAAAAGTAATCATTTAACCTGGTAAATGGCATCAAATTGAATTTCAAGAACGCTAGCGTGTCGTCCGCAGCTTTAACATGTTACGTAAATTCTACTCTTTTCCGTATTAACGGGCACGTTAACGGCAATCGAAATTGATGAACTTCTTGTGTTGTGTAGGGCAAGTTTTTCTTTTGTACCGATGCATCGAAAATGACGGAGGACGAGTGTCAGTAAGTTTTAATTACGTTATAAATTAATAAAATAATTTTATTTTATTTTATTGCAAAGGATCTCGCACAAACCTTATGGAAATTGAATTTCGATAGAATTAAGTTTGATGTGTTGTAGATCTTGTCCTGATAAAAGTCTCCACAGGCTCTCTGATCTCTTATAATCGTTTGTATGTAAAATATGAATCGTTTGACTTCTATGTCACTTTTCAAGACAGGTTAATACTATGATATCTTATTTTCAACATTTCTATGTCGTTATTTGTATTTTTTATATTTTTAAGTAAAAAGTTATAAGGATAATACTGACTTGATTGCTTCTCACAAATCGGAGTGCTTGATTATTGTGAGTCCCCGCGTCTCTCACAAACCGAGGTACTTGATCCATAAAGATCTGAATGAAGGAGACTGATTCGCGAAAATCCAATGTAAGGACAATTCTGAGGATGGAATTCATAGATGTTGCTCAAGATTCGACATGGTCTTAAGCTAGTTTGGGATGTCATGAACCAATCAGAAAATCATATAGCATCTTAAGACATTGCTTGAGATAATCTTGAGATTAAGAACGGACTATGGATACTTGCTTAAGGGTAGACGAGAAAGTAGGAAGATTGCGCTAGCTTTCGGAATTATTATACATATTTGACTCGCGAGAATATCCTCGCATATTATAACACAAATAAACACGCCTAAATTCAACCAAGCAGAGAACATCTAGCAAGCGTGTTAAATCTTGATTTCTACATACTTCAAGCACCCCGACTTCTAAAAGGCGAAAGAACTTACAATAATCAAACATTTAGATTCGTGAGAAGCAATCAAGTTATTATTCTTTTTACTTAAAAATATACATAGAAATAATATACATAGAGAATGTGCACTGTACTCGTTGAAAATAAAATATTGTAGTATTAAAACGTTTTGAAAAGTGACGCCTCATAGAAGTTAAACGGACCCCATGATAGGAGGTCATGCCTATGGAAATTATTTTTATCAGGATGACAAGATCTGCAACAGTCAATTCATTGAAATTCAATTTCTACAAAGTTTGTGCAAGGTCCTTTAGAAATTGTAATGTGGAAATCACAAATATCTTGAAAAGTTGTTAGTAATTTTTGCATATAATAATAATGTGTTGGCGAGAGAACATATCCAATTTAAAAATATATTGAACGTAAAGAAGAGAAAATTTTTATATAATGAGATTTCTCATTAATCCACGAACGATAGAAAATTTCAAATATAGATCACACATTCAGAATACGGATGCAAGAAACTCTCCTTTTCAGGGGTACTTATTTGGAATTCGAAAACAGTAATATTGACAAGCCGATCGTAAAACATAGAGAGTGGCAACAACATCGTTTTCATTTTGATAATGTTGCCAAGGCGATGTTGACCCTCTTTACAGTCTCGACTTTCGAAGGTTGGCCATCGTAAGTATATTTTGCATTCCATTCACAAAGAACGTTGTTTCGATTTCTATCGGAATACATTAAATACAGTACAAAAGGTTACTTATTCAAACTTGCTTTTACAGCAATCTCAATGTCGATACAACAAAGTTTCCATTAAGAACTGCTTTATTATATATTTTTCTTTTTCTTGTTATTTTCTTAAACTTTTATTTTGCTGTTCTTTGCTTCTTTGTCGATAAGTATCCCATCTTTCATACATTATTTGATAAATGTAATTTTGCTAATAGTATTAAGAAAACAGATAAATAAGTAGTTCTAAACGTAAGATATCAAGTAGTTAATGTTGTCTCTCATGTCTACTAACAGACTGTTAGAATGGTCAATCGACTCGAACCAAGAAAAACATGGACCAATTCATAACTTTCGGCCAATAGTGGCCGCCTACTACATCATCTACATCATTATTATCGCGTTCTTCATGGTGAACATCTTCGTCGGTTTCGTTATTGTCACCTTCCAGAACGAGGGCGAGCAAGAGTACAAAAACTGCGAGCTCGATAAAAATCAGGTGAATCGCACGAATATTGAACTAATCGTTTAATTGTTACGTTCAAACTATAATAACATTAATATCATGAAGAGATCACGCATGTTCAAGAATATTCTCATTTTCAATCAATTCTAAAACAAACGCTTCGAAAAACGCTTTACATCAAACTGTAATATTTGTGAAAACAATATATAATACAATCATCATGTTAAAATTAATAAAAATTAAACTTGAAAAAATAATAGACATTGAGTATCATTATGTAATTCGTAATAATTTTCTTCTGAAATATTTCGAGGTTACATGAAGAATCTCATCACGAAAGATTAATAATCTCTTCTTTCTACAGAGAAATTGCATCGAGTTCGCGCTGAAAGCTAAGCCAGTGCGTCGATATATACCGAAGCATCGAATACAATACAAAGTCTGGTGGTTCGTCACCTCCCAACCGTTCGAGTATACAATATTCACGTTAATTATGATCAACACTGTGACACTCGCAATGAAATTTTATCGACAACCGCAGATCTACACGGATGTCCTGGATGTTCTCAATATGATCTTCACCGCTGTGTTCGCCCTCGAGTTTGTGTTTAAGTTGGCCGCATTTCGATTTAAGGTGCAGACTCGCATTTGTGTGTAATTTTATAATCATAATCATTTCTTGCATTTCACATTTATTCGAAATGTTTCATTTTTAATTTCATTTTATATATTGCATTTATTTACTTTATAGTTGTGATCATAAACAAGTTCGTTAATTAATTTGCAGAATTACTTCGGCGATGCGTGGAACGTATTTGACTTTGTTATCGTGCTCGGAAGTTTCATCGATATCGTTTATTCGGAAGTTAAAGTGAGTATCAGTTGCGCTCGACTTTGACCAAATACCTGAGGCAATATTCGCAATCATATTTAAGGAGAGGAAGTGAAACTGTGTGTAACAAAACTATTTTGTCATCCTTGCAGCCCGGATCCAGCATTATTTCCATTAATTTCTTTAGACTGTTTCGTGTAATGAGATTGGTTAAGTTATTGAGCAGAGGGGAGGGCATCCGAACACTTTTATGGACATTTATCAAGTCTTTTCAGGCTCTGCCCTATGTCGCTCTTCTCATTATAATGCTCTTTTTCATTTACGCTGTGATAGGCATGCAGGTAAGCAAACGCCGATCGATGGAAAAACACGTGTTTGAAGTACATAAACGACGGTAATTTAAGCGAACGCTTCTTTTCAGGTCTTCGGAAAGATCGCGATAGACGACGATACAGCGATAAATCGCAATAACAATTTCCAATCCTTTCCGCAAGCCGTATTGGTTTTGTTTAGATCAGCAACAGGTATAAGTTTTATTTGGTTTACATTTTTTATATTAAAAGATAAAATTTTAAACAACTTTTGATCGTTTAGCAGAAATGCAATATTTAAAATGAAACGATATAATATATTATAGGACCGTATATATGATAACACAAATAGAAATCAAAGCTTTAAACGATCTAGCTGGATCTTAAATGCTTGTATGATTCTTGTGTGAATTTATATACTACGTATGTAGTTCTTAGAAACGCATGGCAAAATGATTTTTCGGTATTAAAACGCTACTAAACTACCGCAGTAATATCACGAGTTAAATTGACGATAGCAATTTAATAAATTTTTGATGTTTATTCGCATCTTCGAAACGATCTTAGTAATGTTGAATGACATATTAAAATCTGTAAATAATTAATTCTTATTGCGAAAAATATTACCTCGGTTGGGAGTCAAATCCGAATCTCTTGCATTCCGTGCGAGCGTCCTAAGCCTTTAGACTACCGAGGCATGAAAATTTTATTTAATTAAAATATATAATCGCGAAATATTATATAATTAGCCGTCAAAAGTAATTATTAAAAGTAATTACTGAACAAAATGATCGATCGATATTTGTGATCATAGGTGAGGCGTGGCAAGAAATAATGATGGATTGTTCGTCGCAAGCAAGTGTCAAATGTGATTCTAACAGCGACGAGCTCGACAAGGACAGCTGCGGGTCGGACATTGCATTTCCTTACTTCATATCCTTTTATGTTCTCTGTTCATTTCTCGTAAGTGCATCTTGTAATTATCTCATATTAGTTCTATTTTATTATTTAGATCAGCGCTGGGATTTAGGAGAAAGTGGGGGAGAGGGGGGGATGCTGTGCGCACCTAAGAGAAATTTATTGCCCTGGAATGGTTTTCCAAGTTTAAAGATATACCATATGTATGGAAATAGAAACCATAAACATTCTTCTATCATTACGTATCCTCATATCGAACAGATTTTCATTCAATAAGGTTGTTTTTTTTTTAAGGAAAAAACGGAAAAGCGAAAAAATTTCTCGCGCGTCGAGTAATTGTGCACAAAATAAAAGTCGTAAGAAATGAGTAAATTGTGGAATGTTGACAAAGAAATCAGAAAATATATTCATTATATTGCAATATAAATATATATTAAATATATTTTAAATATATATTGTATATACTAAGAAAAAATACAAAACGAATATAATAATAATGCACATATAGACTTTGGCAAAATGAAATGGCAAAATAAAATAATAATGCCAAGAAAGAAGAAACGAAAAAAATTAGTGCTAGTCATACAATATATGGAAGATGAGTAATTGTACGCATTTCAAAACGCTTGCGCAGTTATCCGTCGGTATGAAATACGATTACTTCAACAATTCCTAACCAAATTTAAATAACAGTTCAAGAGATGCACATATTAACGTACTTTAATAACGTATGCAACTTTAAATAAACAAATTAAAAATACGGACTTACCACCTTATTTTCTGAATTTTCTAAAATAACAAGAAAAGATGTGATTTCACTTTTTCGTATTTCTCTAGCTAACAATGTATTTACGTCTTATCTTTTATATTTATATCTTAAAAAAAGGACGACCTCCTAAAAATTTTATCATGATGATATCTTCATCTATTGGAAAAGTACCAGAATGCACACAATTATTCGCTGCAATTTCCCCACTTTTCCTACTTGCATATTTTGGCCGATTTTCAGTTCTTGGTTCCTGTTCCTTACTTCACCAACTCGCGTGTAAATTCTTATGCAAATAAATCCCAGCACTGATTTAGATCTTCGTTTAAGCTTCCAAATTTAATATATATCTCACGAAAAAAACAGATCATTAATCTTTTCGTCGCCGTTATTATGGACAATTTCGACTACTTAACGAGAGACTGGTCGATTCTCGGACCGCACCACTTGGACGAGTTTATTCGCCTGTGGTCCGAGTATGATCCCGACGCTAAGGGTCGAATTAAACATCTCGACGTGGTAACGTTACTAAGGAAAATATCGCCACCTTTGGGTTTCGGAAAGTTGTGTCCACATAGGGTAGCTTGCAAGGTTAGTAAATGAAACTAATAATATCATAATCATAATTATATAAATTTTAATGAAGGACACGTTAAAATTTATATAATTATAAATTCGTATTTAACAAAGAAAAAGAATGATGTGTAATTCAAAGTAAAATTTAAATTAACGGAATCATATCTAATCTTGAAATTAAAAATTCAGAGACTCGTCTCAATGAACATGCCGCTGAACAGTGACGGCACTGTATTGTTCAACGCGACTTTATTTGCCGTCGTGAGGACTTCACTAAGGATAAAAACGGAGGGCAACATTGACGATGCAAATGCCGAACTCAGGGCGGTAATCAAAAAGATCTGGAAGAGAACTAGTCCAAAGCTTTTAGATCAAGTTGTACCACCACCTGGAGGTAAGCGTTTCTCCACCACTAAAATTGATTTTCTTTCACGAAATTAAATTTACACTTCGAATCGATCTTTCCAGTGGACGACGAGGTGACGGTCGGCAAATTTTACGCGACCTTCCTCATTCAGGACTATTTCCGTCGATTCAAGAAACGTAAAGAACAGGAAATGAAGGACGGTGATAGAGATTGTCACAACACTGTGACTCTTCAAGTAAGTTTTTTTTTAAATTTAAAAGAAATTGATGTACTTAAAATATACTATTAGGTGTTGGAATTAATTCGTAGCGTTTTTAATGAAAGAATGTTATTTATTTCACATGAGCATTAAAAAATACATTAATGAAAGTACTTCCCATCACTTGTAAAACGCTACGAATTAATTCCAACACCTAATAACTTAGAATCATGCTTGGATATTTCATATATAATATTATTCGCTATATGTTATAATTATATTTTAAAAGGCCGGGTTGAGAACGTTACACGAAGCTGGCCCTGAATTGAAACGCGCGATTTCCGGTAATTTAGAAGAACTTCTCGACGACAATCCGGAACCTATGCACAGGGTAAGACAGCGGTCTTTTTATATATTATCTCCCGAGAAACTTATTAATGTAATTGAATTAATGTAATTGAACTTCTACATATTATGCAATTATTTAATATTTTTAGAGAAATCACTCGCTCTTTGGCAGCGTATGGTCCAGCATGCGAAAAGGACATCACTTTCATAGAGCGAAATCGCTGAAGGTTAATTCTACCGCTGCGAAGGCACGTAATGTTTTAATTTTGATGTAGAATACAATTCCTATCGGTTGTTCTAATCGTAAACTTTCTTACAGGCTTCTCCGACCAATTCCATAGATTTTCTACCGTATGCCTCGTTACGGAGAACCGCCGTCACGGATGTCACCAGACAAATCGCTCAGCAAATTGTGCCAAATATAGCAGGGTAATTTTTCACGTATTTGAATTGATATAGATTAGGCGCGTCAGAAAAATGAAAATTAAATTCTTCAATAATTTTTCTTTACAATTCCGAATGTTTCCATCTATTATTAAATTATTTTAGACATTTGCAAAATTTTTTGAACACTTTATTGCCCGTGTTTCTATCAATGTAATTTAATTTAATCTTGATTAAACTATAACTCCTCATCTTTTTTCATTTTTAAATATTAGAAAAAGATAAAAAGTAAATTGAATCTCGAAGTTAAAATTAATTTACATTGGTAAACACGGACATTAATCTTTATAACTTTACATCTATTTGATCATGAATATTAAAATTTAATCTAAAGAACGTTGTTTATATTTTTTCTAATGCCTATAATAAAAGTTATTAATTTATTAAATAATGCTAGTTCAATTATATTAATTACGAATTATGAATTGATGTATAAAAAAATAATTCTATAGTGGTTTAAGCGACGGCGCGATGAACCAGTTGGGAACTGATTTGCGACTGGCAGTCGAAGAGAATATACCTCTAAGACCACTCGCTGTCTTCGGTAATCCGGCGCAACAAACGTCTTACAAAGTGGTCGAGTAAGTACAGAGCGCGTACAGAGCGAGCGAACGTGCGATAAATTGCAGGGAGTTTTTATTAGAATTATTATATCCGTGTGTAATCGATAGTTATTATTTCTCATAAAGATTTTATTTTTTTCTATTTTTCGATTTATCACGTAATGGTGCATGCAGGACGTTCATCAATTTGACTTTTTAATTGGTTCATTATACGAAATAATCCCGTAAATTTACGTAGTCGAGATAGAACGCTACGTCACGTTTTATTTTCTCTTTTGTTAAACGCGCAGTAATATAAAATGATAAAAAATGGACGATGCGATTTATCAATATTGTAATTTATTTGTCAATGATAAATTTGAATCCTCAATATTTTTAGATGACCTTTAGCTAAATTTTCTCACTTGCGACAAATTATTTCGTCTCTTAGAGTGGGTCGATTCGTATCATCTCTCATTATCCCTTTCGCTTTTCTGTTTACTATCGTACCGTTTCAGTGGATCGGGTAGCGGTAACTATCTCCATCCCAATAGCGAATATGGTAAGACAAGTTAGGGCGATCAGTAGCTGGCTTTCCATTTTTTTTGTTTTTTTTTTTTTTTTTGTTGAGTCGCATTGCTTGCTCTGCGCGGCTGCATGTGTCTTTCATTAATTCGCCTCGAGAATCCCGTTCAACTACGTTCTTACAAGAAATCGGACATGATATTCATGTAAAAACTGATTAAACGGGAGTTGATTTTGCAAGATTGCGAGAATAATTAGACGTGCGGGTCGCACATGTATTTCAAAATGCAAAAAGAATGCGTTTGGGTCCCGCCCGTAATAACATTTATGTCCGGCTGATCGCATGTTGTTTGTACTACTACTACTAATCGTAGATTATCGCTACATATTGATGATAATGCTTGTTAAGCGCCTCCAAATGCCTCGATGAAAACATGACTCTTAGGTCGATTTATAATAAAAATACTAGAGGTGTGCGAAAACGCGAATAGATTGGGACGGGAATTTTTGTCGGGATCGGGTCGAATTTCCGAAGTTTTCGGGATTTCCAACAGAGTCGGGATTCCCGATAGAATCGGGATTCCCGGCAGAGTTGGGTTTCTCGAAAGAATCAAGATTCTCGAAAGAATCGAGATTCCCGATTCAATATTCTCGAGTCTGTCGCTTTTCCTGAAAATTCGATTGCCATTTCGAGACTCGTTTTAATAAAAATTTTGTAATTGTAATCATCAAGCACAAATATAGAATTTGTCGTTAAGATTTGTTAAAGCGACTCTTAAGTAGCAATCAGGTTGTCGAAATTTTCGGGAATATAAATTCTTTCGGGAATCTCGACTTTTTATCGAGAATCTCAACTTCCTCGAGAATCCCGGACATTTTCGGGAATCTCGACTCTGTCGAGAATTCCAAACATTTTCGAAAATCCCGATACTTTCAAGAATCTCGAAATTTTCGAGACCCGACTCAACTCGATCCGATGTCTTCCCGACCCGTCTCGATCATTGGGTTCTCGATATTTTCGGGTCCTCGCACACCTCTAAAAAAACACATATTAATTTTTTTATACTATTTTAAAAATTAATTTCAATTATTTTTGATTAAATAACACATACCTATCTCATAGTATATTTCTTCTTACGAAATCTTGAACAATTAAATCTAATACAGAAAGTGAAATAAATAATAAAAGAGAGATCTGAGATGAGAAGAGGAAACAAATTTGTCCATATTAAAGAGACAACCATTATTTATCATCTCAGATATCTAATGTTTGTGTTCTTTCAGATGGCAAATTTTCCCTACGGTATTTTAGATTTTCACTTAGAATACCTCTCTGTTATTTTAAGTAAAATATCTCGAGGCTTTTTTCGGGAGTTCATGGATCTGCCATAACATGTATTAACGTTACATGCATTAACGTACTAAGAACGGCCGTTACGCTTTTCTTTTCTTCCTTCGCCGTCCTATCCCGCGTGTGCGTGTGCACGCTCGTGCAGTCTTCAGGACGGAATCGAGCGGCAGTTGACGCCACCCACGCCTCCACCGCGACGGAACGCACCGTCCTCGTCCACCGGCACTCCGATCATCGGCACCGTCGGCGCCGTGCACATCCCTGCCGTCACAGCGGCAGCAACGGCAGCGACGGCAGGCACCGCCGCAGGGACGAACTGTTATTATACCTACGCGTCGCGAGGCTGCTGCGTCGATTGCGCAGTCTGGAGCAATCACGGTACGGGAATGGCCAGTTTATGTTCATTTCTACTAATGTAGATTAACTTTAATCTCGGTTTAATTCACTCTTTAAATTCTATGAAGTTGAATATCACTTTAAGGAATGAAAATTGAGTCAGTCTTGAAAAACAATGGTTCAATTTTCAATCTTTAAGAGTGAGACTTCACTCTTGAGAGTAATAATTTACTCAAAAAGTTTTAGAGAGCACTTTTTATTTTCTTCTAAGAATTAGGAAAAGATGAAGAGTAAATTGAATTGAAATTAAAGCTAATCTACATTGATAGAAGTGAACATTAGTGAGTCGCAAAGTCCTGTTGCTATGCTGGCGAAAGAACTTACTGACCTCTTGGTTTCACTTTCCAGTCAATTAATTTACTTATAATTCATTTTACTCATCTATAAAACTAAATTCTCTTGAGTATTTAATACAAATAGAATATTGAAAAATTGGAAATTATTATTAAAATTATTACAAGTATTGGTGTAAAAATAAATGAATGATTATAGAAAAATGAAACATACAATAGACAATTATCTAATAAAACAAACAAAATTAACAGCGTATTAAATTAAGAGTATTGTATTTATATATTGAACGTTTCGCTTTTCGTTCTTTTTTAATTTTATTCAATAAAATTTCGTCGCGCCCGCCAGTATAGTAAGATCGACTTGCGAAAAATAGGCGTGATTAGGCATTATTTCCCATTGATAAACGTCCCCGTGTCCTCGCACGCAGCCATAGACGACTGTAACGACGAGGACACGTCAACCGGAAGCGGATCGAGCGATTCCGGCAAGTGGAACCCGCACTCGGAGGGTGGCGTGGCGCGGGGCACGACAGGGAAACCCCATGTCACCGTGCTGGGCGGCCGGTCGTCGAAGCGCCGGGCTAAGGCCCGTCATGATGCTGCGACTGCCGGTGGCAAGTCGGCTCCAGCGAGCTTCCGGTCGCGGGATGAAGCCGCTGCAGCCGCCACGGCCGGTGCCGCTTCGTCGTCAGGCCCCGGCTCGCGCACCGTCGCCAATGGCCTTAAAATGGCACAGAACCAAGCGATCGCCGTGGCCGGCTTCCTCGCCGATGTCGATTCGCGACAATGGCGCGTCTGCGCCTCCTGCTTGTCACACCGAGCGTCATCCTACCACGGCAGAGGTGACTAAAGCACGCGTGAATAAATCTTTTGCGATCGTATAGATGGTATAGATATACTATGATACCAATTATTTTTATGAACGATTAAAATTATTTACAATTTATGTTTTATAGTATTGTCCAACATTTTATTTTTTCAAACAACTAATAAGTTGTCTTTTAGAATAAATGAAAAAATTATAATTATGATGTATAACATAGTTATGATTTATAAGTTTTACGATCTGTTTTAAACTTTTGTAAAGTAATAAAGTAACTATGTATGAAATTTATCATGTCAGGTAATATTTTAACAAAGTCAGGATAAAAATTAAATATTTAATATTTAAAAACTATCGATCGCAAAAGATTAATAAATAATAATGTATGAGCAATAATTCTCTTATTTCATTTGTTCAAGATTTTATTATTCATTTTCTTGATTTACGCTTCAATTATCTCTGCAATTCTCCTTGATAATTTGTTAAAATTTCTATCATTTTCATAAAAAAAGCACAGAATTATTAAATATTATTTCTTTCCTAATCAAAGAATAATTCAATTAAAATTTGATTTGATGTAAAGTGATTATAAAGCAGTAAAAATAATTTTCTCGAATGAAAATCGAATGAATCTAACATGTAAAGTCTACAAAAGCAGACAGCTTGACGTGTAAGGTACAATCATTTTTCATTCGAACAACCCCTGCATGATAAAATTTCCCGAGAGGGATCGACGCAAAAAATATACGAAGAGAGACGTGGATACGAAGCAAAGTGTTGCTCAGGTGGTCAACCGCTGCTCGAAGCACGCGTTCTGTCAGCTTTCAAACTAATCTCCTAATAGTCTTGTTACCTAATGCTTTATTCTTAACTGCAATTCGATTAATACACCTAATATTAGTAATTTCGTAAAGCTTGAAAGAAGTACTCGTGTGTCACTAAATCAGTTTATGTGTGCTATGCTCGCTAATGCAAATGGCCTTTCGGCAAAAGTAAATCGAAAGCGATAAGGAGGCAGGGTGTGACTTATTCGAGCTAACACTCTGACGCCTCTCCTCGTTCGTCAGTTTCCTGGGCCAAAGAGAGTAATGGAAGCGTCGGCGCAGAGCGCCTGTCCCACAGTATGCCCGGCAGTCCTGCGGACCGGAAGCCGAACTTTGAGGTCATTGGAAGCGCGGAGAGCCTCGTTGGACGAGTGAGTTTCAGAATAAAGGATAAGAATCAGTCAATAAGTAACTTTAACTGCATCTTAATTTTTAAGGGAAAAATAAAGGTTAATTATTGACTCACTTATATCATAAAAAAAGATAAATCGAAACCTAAAAATAATAAAACAATTTTTCATACGTTTTTTTCAGGTCCTGGTGGAACAAGGTCTGGGCAAATTCTGTGATCCGGATTTCGTACGATACACGTCGCGTGAGATGCAAGAGGCGTTGGACATGACGCGCGAGGAGATGGATCAAGCAGCTCACCAGTTACTCCTTCAGGAGCGACGTGGTCAGCCGTTGACCTATGAGTTACAGCAGGGCGCGGAGCAGCAACAGCTGCAGCCGTGGAGCACCCAGCAACAGACCACGACCGGCATCGGTTATCAACCGTTACAGGAACAGCCACCGAGTCAGCCGGTCTATCGCCAGCTGCACTCTTCCAGCTACCGTCGCAGTAGTAACCGACAACAACAGCAACAGCGACAATCGCCGTCCTAGCAGGACGAGAAGCTCGCTGCGACGCGAACATCGTCCACGTAACCCGAAAATTCTTACTCCCCCTCATTGGGAGTAGTCGCCGAAATACCGAGATCGCCAGTTAACATGAAGTAACTGCGAAGAATCATCGTGACCTCTTCATCAGGATCTGAATCAATCGCGTGAGTTCGATGGATTCAGACTGCACGGGGTTTAATCGCCGTTGTTGTTGTTGTTGCTCGAAAAGCACTGAGGACGCTTTATAAACTGTTCCGAATATGTATAGTTGTAGTTAGGTGCGGATTGAGAGATGTCACTCGACAAAACGCTGGTTTAATCTAAGGAAAAGCGGGCCAAAATCGTGACGAAAGGCGGCCGCTCAATGTCGAGATGTTCATCCCGTGATGAACACCAATGAACGCGTATTTTCGTTCGAGCAAATATTTTCTAACCGAACGCGCGTGTTTATCCGACATTTTTGAGTCATGCGAATCGCTCGTTAACTTGACATGATATCTCGGACGAGATGCGTGCGAGTTATAATAGAGCAAAGCAAGTTGCTGTTCGTTTAGGCACAAGAATATGTAGACTTTTAAGATGTATTTTCGCCGCGATGGATGATCGGAATGATCTAAGGAATCATCACGGCGCGGAGCTTCATTTTTTGAATGTCGAACAATCGCGAGATTAAAATCGACGGAATATCCCGGGACTTGGGACTCCCGACGGGATTGAGTTTATTTCTCTAGTAACAATCTTGTAGAAATTTGCCGTTGTTTTGATTTAACATTAATCTCCGTTTTTGGTTCGATTCTTTCTGATCATGGGAGATACGGCGAACGCCGCGTGTACTCCACATACAGAAAATAGACGAATTAAAATGAAAGTAATAGGAAATATTGTTCTACGAAACTTCTCATGGATTTTAGTGATTGATTAAAAAATTCTTAAAATAATATAAATTTAAATAGTAATTTTTATATAATTTAATCTATATAAAAAGCGCCTGGAAATAATAAATTAGAAATTGAGAAAGTAAATTCCTCTCTCAGGATTAAAAGATATAATATTAAAATAAATTTCGTATCAGTATTAAAAAGAGAAATACAAAAGAGAAATCGAAACATCTGAAATTATGAATATTTAAAACTTCTCATGTTAAAGATTAAGTCAAATCTTATAAAAATAAATTTTTCTCAATTATCTTAATTCGTCTATTTTTACAGCGATCTAATGTTTTCTTTTTCAAAAACTCATCTATTTTAACTTTTTACGATGCTTCATAGAATATTTATTATTATCTTATAAGAGTATTCTGACGTAATAACTTTTTATCTCACTATAATTTCCTATTGGACAGTAAAAAAAATCTCTCTTCTATACAGACAGGTAAGCAACGCGAAGAAGTTAAATAAAAGTGTTAAAATAAAATTCGAATCGTAAAGAGTTAAGATAGGATGAAAAACACGTCGGCGGATGATCGCTCTTGTTGTTCTCATTATTGATTACTCTCGTTATCCTTATTCCGATGATTACCGGTTACTAGCACGATAATTACAACTCATGATTCATGCGTATATGGATTCTAGACGAGATAACAAGTGCCTAAGTATCTATAACTTCTCTTGGACCAGAGAAAGACTTTTATCAACTTAGACAAAGTAAACGATTATTATTGCGAATTATTATTGCGCGAGAAGAGGGAGCTGCGAATCGAGTGTGTTGTACACTATTGATGACATGTTGTGACGATATATAGATATTATTCGTATTTGTAATTGTGTACATAACACCGTTGTGCGCGTATATTTCCGCTGAGATGCGTGAGGATGAATGGCCGATAAACTAGCGCTGCGAGAGATTCGAGATTATTATATTAATATATATATATATATAAATATATATCTCTAGATGGCAATCTCTATACAAAACGAGAATAGCGGGGCGAGGGTGTAATAGGAACGGGGTAAATAGATGGGACGTACACGGATCTTTTTCCTCTTGAAGAAATAATATGGTCACGCGATATATGATTTTTATTATGTAAAATGTAAACTCGGATGTGATGACGATCGAACATCAAGATCTGAATCACGAATCTCTTTCTCTCTCTCTCTCTCTCTCTCTCTCTCTCTCTCTCTCTTTCAATTCACGATTACACCCCTTCAAGCATGCTCAACAATACGGAGAGCTTTTTAAAAAGCCACTTCATAGATATTCCGACATTCTCATCTCCGGGGGACTCGCGCCATTTACGAGAGATTTACCGGTAATTTTTAATTAACCACGAGCTAACTGAAAAGTTTCACTCCAATCAGCTAACGTTTGACCTCGAAAATATTCTGTTATATTGTGAGAAATTAATGATAGTAATCATAGTTCGCTAGCTTTACAGAAAATTTATAACGTTGAGCGAAAGTCGTAATTAAAGGACCAATTAAAGACGGAATTAAATCAATCGAAATAAAAATCATAAAACGATTTAAAATTAATCGGCTTTTAATATATAATAATGAAATGTATATTAAATGTAATATTATAATAATTTTACGGAATAATTGTAAGTAATGTATTACAACAGAATACAAGCGAAAAATTGCTCTAGATAACTTATCGCGCCTTTATGCGAAATTTTTGGAATAAATTGTTTGGAAATAGCGCGAGTCCTCTCTTTCATGCATAAAGAGTTCACTCGTAAATGAATGCAGCCGACAGAGAACCGCAGCAGCCGCAGCAATGCAATCTCCGATTACAACAAATAGAAATCGCGTTATTGATGTATATCATTCGAGTGAGTTTGAGATACGCAGAAACGTGAGATTGAAAACCGGAGGGTGCATGGACACTGAAGCTAACTATATAAATGTTAACTTATAGACGTTGACAAATTTTTAAGCTCTCGTAAATTTTATAAGTACTCGTCAATCGGCGTGGTTCTGGAGATTTGTTGCGTAATGCTTCAATTTTTCCCATTTGTATACTATGTCGAACCGAAAAAAGAAAGAATGCAACGTGGAGAGAACGTGTAGAACTAATTAGAATTCTAATGTTTAATGGAAGAGACCTCAGATCAGAGTTTCGTCGATTTAGGGCGAATGCTAGGCGATTGACAAATCGGTTTATTGTTATACGGATTACTACGGACTGCTAGTTTGAATACTTTCAGAACCACGTTCCTCGACAGCCTTTCGGCTTGTCTACGACCAATGCAAATTCCACTCTCTCACGCACATCTCTTCGCGAATTTTCCTACGTACAACTCGCCAATCTATTTTCCCATCTTATGTTTCTTTTGTATATTATTTTGCTTTATCCTAACGCTCTCTCTCTTTACAAGTCCAAGAGTTCCTTGTTTGTATTGATCATCGACTTGTAAATCGCCCGATGTATAAATGATCGAAGATTTTTTTCCCTTATCTTTGATTTTGTCTCTTTAATCGATTGCGTTATATGTCTCACGTTTGACGCTCTATATATTAATTTTAGTTGATTATGCCTCCCTTTTTTTATAATTATTCTCTTTCTTTATTGGAAATGATAACGCGAAACCGTTATTATACATATATAAACATAGTATATATATATATATATATGTATATGTATATATATATACACACACACACACACACACATATATATATATATATACTATATATATATATATATATGTGTGTGTGTGTATATATACACACACACACACACACACACACATATATATATATATATATAGTATATATATATATATACGTGTGTGTGTATGTATATATACACATACATATGCCAAATTTTTAGAGAAGAGTTGGATGATGCTGAAGCAGTAAGTGTAAATTACAGAGACTACGGGTCCGTAAACATGACCACAAGTAGAATTTTTTACGCTCTGTAAGGTAATATAGATCGCCGTCTGTTCCTCTCGTCTCTCGCAGACGAAAGAGATACAAAATACAAAAATAAAAAAAAGTAAATAGAGCGCCACACGGTCCAGAACCACTAATGTTTAAAAATCCGAAGTCTGTTTATATCTTATGATGTCTGAATAAAAATTGTCATAGTAATTAAAACCCCGTGCAATCGATCTTTTTCGTTCATAATCTACGTATACGTACATACATATACGCATATACGTGTATATTTTGCTAGGATTTAACACTAGAACAACTAAAGCAGTCAAAATAATTTGATTATCAAATTGACATGCATTTGATTGAAATGCATTTTCCATGACTTTTGTTGCAATATGTAAATGATTAAATTTATTTTTCCCATTCATCCTTTTTTTTCAAATGAGTATATAGAGGATTCCAAAATAATCGCTAAATATTTTATGAGCAGGTAGAGTGGACTGAATTAGTCTATCCTCTACGAAAAATAACATTTTGTAATTTTCGCAATAGTTAACAAGATATTAAAATTGCCGAAAATTGGTCTTCAATAATTTTTTGCTCAAATACTATCGATTTTACAGAAAAACTGCAAGAAAAACAAAACTGCAAGAAGAATAAAAATTGTTTATTTTTTTCTCATAGAACTCTAAGAATTTTTTAAGAATTTTTTAATATCATATTTTTTCATGTTGGCAAAAATAAGAAGAATAAAATTATAAATTGTAAAATAAGATTTAGAATATATAAGATAGTATTTAAATAAAAAATTATTGAAAATCAATTTTCGACAATTTTTAGTAATTAATATGTTATTAACTATTGCGAAAATTGCAAAATGGTAGAAGAGACTTTTCAAGTCAGTTTAGTCCGCTCTCCTTGGCCATGAAATATTTAGTGATTATTTTGGGACATCCTGTATATTTAAATAATAGAAACAGGTAATTAATCTTCGCTAGTTCTAGTGTTAATAAAGTTTTCAGCAAGAGGAAAGATATCGGCGTTGGATTCTTGGACAGATCATCATCTGACATTTAAATGGTGAAAACGACAGGCAGATAGATTATTCGTGATTTAAAATTGAAAAGAGACTATTTTGCTTGCGAAATGAACGTAGCTTCATTTGTGCGCAATAGAATAGTCAATTTTTCAACGTTTTAATAACATAATCTTTGGCTGTTTATATACCGTTTTACAATGAAACAAAATTTACAACGAAATGTGTTAAGTTCCGTTTACAATAAGTTATAATAAACCGATAATGCGGAAAAAAAATATATGTATATGTCGTATATTATTACGAAATTTCGAATATCGTAAATACCGTATGGTAATATCGTGTGGTAATCGCGTATAGAAAGACCAAATATTTTCCAATATTTTCGTGAGACTGAAAAACGATCAGGGAGGAACGGTCGAGAATAGTATAGTTAAAAACAAGAGAAAAATTATGAATCGATTGGAAAAAAATATAATTCCAGTCAGCCGAGAGAAATTTAAAAAGGAAGCCGACATGAAATTTGCCCCAAAATATTTTTTGCTTAATAGAGTATTCTGTATGATATACATATATAAATGTGTACGTTTTCATAAAATGCGCGGAAAGCTGAAGATATTCACGTATTTCTACTGTATTAAGATTGTTTTTCGATCTATTTGTTACGAATAATGCTCGAGTCGTTCAAATAAAATGATATTGATAGTCGGAAATTAATATTAATTGTAAATATTAATAATAATAGTAACGTCGGGTATAGTGCGATAAAAGACGCAAAATTTCTCAATAAAAGAGATAGCGTTTAGCGTGCGTGATAATGGAAACAAAGTGCACAATAATTATATTCATCTACTATGTTAGATTATAGTGGCGTACAGACAACTAGATTTGTCAAAGGATGCATCTTAATTATATTTCACGTAAGTTTAGAGCAATGCGTAATGCCGTGTGTTTCAATATGGAATATTCTAAACTTGGAATGTTATGAAATATGAAGTGAGAAAAATAGGAAATAAAATTGAACGGACTAAAATGAGATTTCTTCACGAAATCCTATTATTTCGCAACTTATTGCCTTCGAAAAATAATTTTCTTTTTTTAGCGATATATATATATATATATATATATATATATATATATATATATATATATAGGATGTTTGATCAGTAACGATAAAACTCTCGCATAAAGATAGAGCGGATTGAACTGAGTCTCGAAAAGTCCTATACCATTTTACAATTTCCGCAATAGTTAACAAGATATTAATTACTAAATCGTCAAATATTGATTTTCTTAGAGAAGAAATATTGATTTTAGAGAGAAGAAAATAAACAATTTTTGTCTCTTGCTACTTTTCTATAAAGTTGATAGTACTTCGAGTAAAAAGTGATTGAAAACCAATACTTGGTGATATTTAGTAATTGGTATCTTGTTAATTATTACGAAAATTGCAAAATGGTACTTTTCGATAGGACTTTTATAATAGGACTTTTCGATTCAGTTTAGTCTGCTCTACTTTTATGCGAGAGTTTTATCGTTACTTATCAAACATCCTGTATAGAGAGAATAGGTAAGATTTATAAAATATATTACAGAAATTATTTTCATAAATCAAGATAAAAACGCAAGAAAAACATTTTACAAATTTAGCAACAATATGTTTCTTCACTTGGGATTAAATAATACTTCCATTCGTTCAAAACGTTCATATAATTATAGCAAATGAAGGATTCATATAAACAGGATAAAAAAGGATCAGTACTCACAGAATAGGATTACGGGAACACTTATCGATGAGCAATTTTATCCAATAGGCATCTTTCAAAACATTCTCGTTTATTTATAAAGTCCGTCGTTCTCCTTTGGCCATTGCCTTTCTTCGATGGCAGCAGCTCTTCTTATATTTTACAGTACTTACAATATGAAATGTAGGTCAGCCGCGAAAATTCATGTTGCCAAAAAAACTATACACAGGAGTTCTTCTAGATCATAAGCTTCATCTTCATGGAAGTAATGGTCGGGTAGAAGCACGGTTTTAAAGGTACCTTCAAAGTGTACAACGCTTAGAAATAAAACGTCACAAAATCGACTGAACAAAGTACGTCGAATTTTTTGGTATGCCGTGCGACTAATTTGTGCACGTATCAGCTATAACAAGGCACAAGTATACATGCGAACTGGCATTCAATAAGTAAGCTAAGTTTTTGTCCTCCAGTCTTAATTTTCATTTATAATTCTCTAGAGAAGAATTCCATTTCGAGGAACGAAATGACCGTTGCTTCGGAATCGAGAAATTGAATTAGAGTTCAATAAGTTAGAAGAAAATTTCGAGCTTAGCGTGCAGTTAATATTATTTTGTCATCTGCGCCGCTTTCTTTGCCTTCACGAGCTCAACTAATTCCTGCAATAAAGACAAACAAGCATAGCATTAGCTCAATTCATTATTCTTATAGTTATATTTGATAATACATACTTAATACTCGATATTAAATTATTAATTATTTCAAACATACATCGCGTTTTATCTTTCTCCCTTTCATTTTATAAGAAAAACTTTATGCAAGCATAACAATGTTTAATTTGATATCTATGTAAAACTCAAGATTATATACTTGCATTACGTGACTATAATATATAAATTATATAATATTTTTTTCTTAGGCCTACCTTATATCTTTTCATACATTCCTTTTTCGTTCTAGTAGGTATACACGCCGCGATCTGATCCCATCTGTCTGAAACCGTCGTCGGAAAGGTTTTCAATGCTTGTTCCAAGAGTTTTTGTTCACCCGGTGTCCATGGTGCCAATTCTTTTTTCATCTCCTTGGATTCTACGGCAACACCATTCGCAATTGGATGATCTAGACGCTCCGTAACGGCTGGCATTCTTTCTTCAATAGCTTCCTTGCTCTTTTTCTCAGCAATGAAATTGTCGAAAGCTTTCTTATTCGCCTGTTCTTTTAAACTCGATTTGCTAAAGTCAGTTGATTGTAGACTTTTGGCCTTTGCCAGAACTTCCTTGGCATCGCGGGTAACTCCACTGGTGGAAGTGCTGTGTTGATTAATGAAATTTGCTACCACCTCCCAACGTTGATTAGTACCAGCAGGAAACAGATTAACTGCTTTTATTAAAAGTTGCAAGTCATTCTCGCTCCAGGGTGCGGTACAAGTTTTGGTCTGCTTATCAGGCATGTTTCTCGCATCGTTATTGATGACATTTACACGGCGTT